GTCATACAGCCTGCATAGCCAGAAATGCTTACTGTCTGGCTGTTCGCAGACGAAGTTTGCTGAGCGCTGATTTAGACCACTGAAACCAATTGGTTGGGTGGTTCTCCGGCGCTGCAATGCTAAACCTGTACCTAGCCTAGAGCACCATGATTCAGCCGGTTTAAGTCTGGCCCTGCCGGGGTTAGGTTTTCATGTTTGAAGTCATATGTACATTTAAGAGCACTTTGGACTTCAGTGGCCTGGTAATTTTAAGACACTGCAGATGCGTTCATTTACCTGTTGTGCTTTAGGGGTAAAGGAATATTTGTGGGTGAAAAGTCTTATAGTTTAGAGCTTGTTGGAAAGGTGCATAAATGCTCCCGTAGTTCTGATTAGCGAGGCTTTCTTGGACAGCCCAGATGCTGGGCGCCTGTCTCAGCTGTAGGTAAGGAGTCAGTTGGCCTGCTAGCCAGAGCAGCGTTGTCAGCTCAGTTCGTCTTGTTTCTGCAGGCAGCCAGTGGGGGACAAGCGTCCATAATGAAAGTGTCCGATAGCTCGTTGAAGTCCGTGCCAGCCACCTCACAGCTCTCAAAGCCTGGGACCACAATGCTGAGAGTAGCAGGGGGGCTTATCACAACGGCCACCTCCACAGCCGTGGCCCTCTCGGCAAATGGCCCCGCACAACAGGTAAGAGTTAGCCTGACAGTAGAAAATCATAATGAAACGGAAAAAAAGCATAAACATAAATAAGATATCCCAGAGGCACGCCAATGGGTCGGTCCTATTGCTCATGCTTTGAGCTATAATTAACATACCGTAAAATACATTGTTGTAAAATGTACAGGTCAGTGGTGTTTACTCCATGCACAGGATCGTGCAACGGTCATCATGATTGAGTTCCAAAACGTTTTCATCACCCCAGAAAAACCCTGTACTCATGGTAGTCGCCCCCTATCCCCTCCTCCCCAGCTCTAAAAACCAAAGCCGTTGCCATTGAGTTGATTCCGACTCACAGTGACCCTGTAGGACAGAGTAGAACTGCCCCAGAGGGTTTCCAAGGAGCGCCTGGTGGATTCGAACTGCCGACCTTTTCGTTAGCAGCTGAATGCTCAGCCACTGCGCCACCAGGGCTCCAAGTAACCACTGATCTTCCTTTGTGTGAGGATTTGCCTGTTCTGCACATTTCATGTAAATGAAGTCGTATGACGTGATCTTTTGTGCTTGTTTCTTTGACTTAGCGTAGTGTTTTCGAGATTCTTCCAGGCTGTAGCCCGTGTCAGTACTTCATTTCTTCTTACAGCTGAGTAATATTTCATTGTATGGATGTAGCACATTATGTTTCTCCGTTCGTCAGTTGATGAACATTTGAATTGTTTCCACTTGTTCTCTATTGTGAATAATGCTGCTGTGAACATTCGTGAACAGATTTTTGTGTGGTCATGTGTTTTCAGTTCTCTTGGGTGTATACCTAGGAATATGGTAATTTTTTGAGGAACTGCCAAGCTGTTTTCCAGAGCAGCTCTACCATTTTACATTCCCACATGCAGTGCACAGCAATGCACAGGGTGCCAGTTGCTCCACATCCTTGCCAACACTTGTTCTTGTCTGGTTTTTTTATTGTAATCATCATAGTGGGTATGAAGTGGCAGCTCATGGTTTTAATCAGCCATCTCGTGGTTTTAGTCCTTGTTTTTTGTTTTAATGTTGTCATGTTTTACATATAGACATCTCCGTTTCCCGATTTTCAGCATTTAGCTTTGATTTATTTTTGTGACTTCCCTATCTGGGTTGATATCTGGTTGCTCTGTCCTGTGTTCTAGTCTTGGTTGTTATCTGATATTATTGATTTTTCTAACCAGAGGACTCCCTTTAGTATGTCTTATAATTTTGGTTTGGTTTTTGCAAATTCCCTAAACTTCTGTTTATCTGGAAATGCCCTAATTTCGCCATTCTACTTGAGAGACAGTTTTGCTGAATGTATAATTCTTGGCTGGCAGTTATTTTCCTTCAAGGCTCTATATATGTCATCCCATTGCCTTCTTGCCGGCATGGTTTCTGCTGAGTAGTCCGAGCTTAGTCTTATTGACTCTCCCCTGTTCGATGACTTTTCGTTTATCCCTAGCCCCTCTTAAAATTCTCTCTTTATCTTTGGTTTTGGCAAGTTTGATTATAATATGTCTTGGTGACTTTCTTTTAGGAGCCATCTTGTGGTTTTAATCAGCCATTTTTCTCATGGCTGATAATGTTGAACATTTTTTCGTGTGCTTATTGGCCATTTGTATATGTTTGAAGAGATTCCTGTTAAGATCTTTTGCCCATTTTTTAATTGGGTCATTTGTCTTTTTATTTGAGATGTAGGAATTCCTTAATATAATCTAAATATAAGTCCCTTATCAGATACATGATTTGCAAAAATTTTTATTTTTTGCGTTTTTTCATTTCACTTTCTTAATGGTGTCCTTTGAACCCCAAAAGTTTTTAATTTTGATGAAGTCCAATCGATATATCTTTTATTACTTTTAGTATCACATTTAAGAAACCACTGCCACAAAAATTTAAGCCTGTACAACATGTGTACTGTTTAATGAGAAACTATTTTGTTCTACAAACCTTCATCTAAAGTGAGAATAGCAGCACAATTGGAGGAGCGTAGTTGATGTCACTGAACTGTGCATGTAGAAATTTTTGAAATGGTGTATCTTTGGCTATGTATATTTTCACCAAAAAAAAAAGGTTGAGAAGGTAGAGTGTTGACATGTCGTGGGGTTGTTAACCAATGTCATAAAACAATATGTGTACTGACTGTTTAATGAGAAACTATTCGTTCTGTAAACCTTCACCTGAAGTACAATTAAAAAAAAAACTAAGCCTGTATTTTCTACTAAGAGCTTCATAGTTTTAGCTCTTACACTTAGGTCTTTGATCCATTTTGAGTTAGTTTACGGTGTGAGGTAGGGGTTCAACTTCATGCCTTTGCATGTAGATATCCAGTTGGCCCACCACCATTTGTTTGAAAACACTACTTCTGCCATTGAATTGTTTTGACACCTCAAAGACTTTTATGATCTGACCTTTGCTTACTTCTCAAATTCATCTCCTACAACTCCATCTCATTGTATGCCTGTTCTCTAGTCATTATACTCTGCAGTTCCTTGAACATGCTGTGTTCTTTTTCTGCCTTTCTGACTTTCTCCCTTCTATCCCCAGTGGAGAACACCCTTTCATCTCCCACTTCCTTTGTCTTAAATCTGGAAGACTCTTCTAACGTGTCATATCTTCTACCTGAAGCTTTTCAAGTTTCCTTCCCCTCCCCAGCCCTAGGCAAAAGGAGTAACTTTTCCTCTCAGTTGCAATGATGCCTTGTACTTATGCCTGCTAAAGCATTAATCACACTGCTTGGTGACCAAGACCTTACCAAGGGCTTTTATCTCTGAGCCCTAGCATTTTAACACTATGCCTGCCATACAGTGGATGTTTGTTGAATGAATTTGACAAACTTTAAAACACTGTAGTAAGTTTTTGATAACACTCATTTTATCGTATTTTTACATGCATGCTGACGTTATGTTCTTTTTCGGTGTGGAAATATCCTTTTATAAAGTGATGGTGTTAATAGGTGGTGGATTTTTTTTGATGTGGTCACCCTACATTGCTCCTTTTTTATATTTTAATTGTCCTGGTCCATCAAATCTAGAAGTGTGGAAACCACTGAGTTAGAGAACACGTATTTTTAAAACGGCATGACATTTAATTGGTATTGAGCGTGTGCTCTGTGATAGTCACCGTCGTAAGCAGTTCACATAGCTTTCTTCTAACGTCTGCTATTTCTGGCCCTGTGGATGAGTAGTCTGAAGGGACAACCCTCGGCTCCTCATCTGCTGTAGGTTCTGTAATGAAAACTTGCGGGCAGCAGCCAGTGTGCGTGAGCCAGGCAGCCGCGGGATCCTGCAAGGCTGCTGCCCCTGGTGTCGTCAGCGCCTCATCCCTGGTGTCCACGCCGACCCCCGTCTCCGGAAAAGCCACGGTGTCAGGTAAGCTGCATCATCACGGTGTCTCTTTCTGTTTCTCTCTTTGGGCTAGAATGTTTTGGAAGGTCGTAAAGTCTGAGAAGGTTCTGTAGATTGAATAATATTTTTAAATGATAGAATAGTTCTACTCTGCACACATGGGGTCACCATGGGTCAGAACCGACTTCTCGGCAACTACCGACAGCAGGTAGAGATGTGGATAAGATGATATGATGAAACCCTAGCCGCCTGGAACCCTACTGAATAGTTTAGCTTTTTTCATAATGTAGTTTTGTGGAGAGCTGAGGGTTTGCTTTCCTTAAAGTACTAATTTCTTTCTTTTTAATGATCATTTTGAATAAAAGTCATTATAAAACTTATCATACATCTCTCTGCTTTTCTTAAACAGAGTATCTAAAATGTAAATCAGCTTTGATGATTCTAAGTCATAAAGTTAAACATTAGTTATCAGGCTGGGTAATGTTGGAGCGATATGATTAAAGTCTGTTGTGTGCTGTCTTTGCGCCCACACTAAATGGCCCCGGAAAGGTACGCCTTTCACTTCTTTGATAACATAGAGCACAAAGTCTGGAACCAGGTTGCCTTGGTTGAAGTACCTTGCTTCAGTTTTCTCAGCTTTAAAATGAGGCTGATACTAATTCCTTCCTGAGAGGATTAACTGGTAAGGTAGTGGTTATGAGCTCAGCTGCTAACCAAAAGGTCGGCAGTTGGAATCCACCAGCTGCTCCTTGGTAACCCTGTGGGGTAGTTCTACTCTGTCTTGTAGGGTCGATGTGATGAGTTGGAATCAACTCAACAGCAGTGAGTTTGGTTTTTGATTTTGAAGATTAGTTAATACGTAAAAGCTTAGCATTGTGTCTGGCATTTATTTTTGATTTTGAAGAAGATTAAGTTAATACGTAAATGCTTAGCATCGTGTCTGGCATCTACCAGGCACGTAAATACTTGCTGCTCTTACTATCAGTGCCATTGTTGTTAGTCCATAATCCCTTATCTGCAGTTCTGAAATTCGAAAAGCAAGTTTTAGGGCAAAACCTGACCTTCGTTGACCTGTTATTTATACTTAAATGACTATTTGTGTGTCTTGCCACAAAAATAATCATGTTTGACAACACCGTGCTGTCCCGGATGCAGAGAACTGATATGTAATATAGAGGGTTGCTCTTCAAACTTGAAGAATCCGTTTTGTTTTTGTTTTTCTGTAACCCTGTGTGGGGAGCCCTCGTGGCTCAGTGGTTAAGAGCTTGGCTGCTAACCAAAAGGTCGGCAGTTCGAATCCACCAGCCACTCCTTGGAAACCCTATGGGGCAGTTCTGCTGTGTCCTGAAGGGCCACTCTGAGTTGGAATCCACTCGACAGCAGCGGGTTTATAATCCAATGCGGACACATATTTTTATAAAATACAATTAAAATATCACAGCAGTGTCACACCATTATAAAAGTTTCTAAACCCTCTCCATTTTTATACTCTCCTGTTGTATATTTAATAACAGTGTACCAGCCAGCGCTGGTCTATGTGTGCCCGCGCGCACATGCGCACGTATATACACACACATTCACACTTCATTACCTTTAGATAAGAGGTTTTGGGTGGTGGTGGTATGTTATCGCGACTATTCCGTACGTGGCTCCAAACCAGGCCCCTATATCCTGTCTGCTTTTTGGCCAGTTAAAGAGACCAAAAGATTAAGGCAGGTGTATTTTTCCTGTAATTTTCACCTCCCAGTAAAAATGGACCAAGTTCTAGTAAAGGGAATGTTTGTTCTCTACCAACCAAATGTTTTATTTGAGGCCCTCCCTGTGTTAGGTACTAGAGTACAAATTGTAGAAATGGAAAGAATTATCATTATTATAAGAAGTGAGTATGTTTTCCTCTCCTTTTCTGATCAAGTTTTAGCGTGCAGCCAGCGATCTCCCTGCTGTCGGTTCTCACTTCCTAAGAGGTTGCTGATGCGGCTTTCTGCATAACACTTTCATAAAAGGCTTGAGCTCTTTCCTCCTGACCCTCAGTTTTTAATTAAATTGTGTGCATCATGAACTGTTTTGAACGAAGCGGCCGTTGTGATTGGAGCAGAGTAAGCAAGGGAAAGGGCCCGAGGCGATGAGGTCATGGTGATGGGGACAAAATCATATAGGGCCTTTGTAGGTGATGGTAAGAACTTGGACTTTCACTCCAAGGGAAGCAAACCATTGGAGGACTTTAAGCTAAGCAGTAACGGGATCAGCCTGCGTTTTACGAGGATCCCCCTGGATGCAGCATTGAGAGTGAGCTGGCGGGCACAAGTAGAAGCAGGGAATGGGCAAACAGTAGACACTGGGAAGGAAAGTTCACTGATGGATCAGGAAGGACCATCAGCTACTAAAAGGAGTTCCATAAGAAAACAGAGAAAATAGTGGGGAGGAACTCTCTGAGAAATAAAATCAGAATTTGTCCCAGGATTGAAGGGCGTCATGAACTTGCGGGTTCAGAAGGCACAGTGTCCAGCACAGTAAATGAAAGAAGACCCTCGCTAAGGCACCGCTGTTCCTGAGATCGGAACACCAGGGATAAGGAGAAGATCCTGAAAGCTGTCAGAGAGAAGAGTAGGAAAGCCCAGTTCTCACTGGCCTCTCAGCGGCAATGCGCTCAGCACTCTAGAGGGAAATCACACTCAGTCCGGAATTCTTCAGTCAGTCCGGTCACCTGAGTGTGAGGGTAGAAACACTTCCAGACAGGCAAGGTTTCAACTGTATTTTCTGTGTACCCTGTCTGAAGACGGTACTACAATATGTATTTTACCAGGATGAAAAGGTGTAAACCAGGAAGGAGGAAGAGAGCAGTGATCCCACACGGAAGAGAGGGGAGGGAATCCCCAGGGTAGCAGTGATGAGTTTCCAAGGCGAGAGCTGGGCCACAGGCCTCGAAAGCCGCAGTCCACGTTGGAGCCGAGCAGGGAGCGTCAGAAGGAATGTCTCCTGTAAAATACGGAACTGTAAATCACAGAAGAGGTTTGACTGGAGAATTGTAATAAGGGGCAGTTCACCAAGTTCTTAAAGACTTAGATGTTGAAAGAAAACTAAGCCAATGAAGAGGAGGAAATTCTTAAGTAACTCCAGGAAATACAGTGTAATCACGGATCATGGTTTACTTTCTTGGACCAACAGAGAACAGTATTGGAGTGAAGGAAAGAAAGCGTGTAAGTGCCTTACAATGCTTATCTCCCCAACTGAAAGTTAAAAGGTAACACGAAAAATTAATGAATCAAGGCATGCACCATGCATAATTTTTTAAAAGTGTGGCGGTGAATATTGAAAGAACCAAAAGGATTAAATTAAAAGTGCATGCTATCGAGGAACTAGTTGAGGGTGATCCCATTGCCACTGAGTCAGTTCCGACTCATAGGACCCTATAGGGGAGTCTGACTGCCGCGTGGGGTTTTCTAGGCTGCGGTCTTTACAGGAGCAGACTGCCACGTTTCTCCCTTGGAGCAGCTGGTGGGTTCAGACCGCCGACCTTTTTGTTAGCAGCCAAGCGCTTTAACCGCCGTGCCACCAGGCTCCCAGATGAGGATAGGGGGATGAGATGAGGATGACTATTTTCAGTTTTAAGCCTTTTAGTACTTTTTTTTTTTAATTTCCCAACTGATTGGCTTATAATATTTTGATAAAAATATGAATTTACAAAACAGGAGAACACCAGGTCATTGGTGTTCAGGGTCCTGTCTCAGTAAGTACTTACTTCTTGACTGACTGACTGACTGCTCATCTGTTCCAGAAAAAGGTTTTCTTATTTATTTAAGGCTTTGTTCTAGAAAGTGTCGAAGATGACTCCTTTCCTTAACCTCAGACCAGCTGTTTCCCAGTGCCTTCAAGTGTCTGTAGCCTCTGGTGCGGTTTGTAAGCACTTGCTATGATCCAGCACCTGTCAGCTCTCAGGTAGCCTGTGCTCGCTCAGTAAAGGCCCTTTCTAATTCTTTGTTAGCTCTCTGGATGCGTACAGATTTTGGTCTGATGTTTTTTAGAATAGTTTTTTAAGGGAAAGAACCTTTAAAAGAAAGTGGGAGAAAATGACCATTCCTAAAATGATAAATGGAGAAATTCTGATGTTTGAAACATCAGGACTGCACAGACATGGGAAGTTCCAAGTTACGGGGCACAGACAGATGGGAGTACTAGATATGTCGGGATGGCGTGAGGAGAGGCAGATAAATTGGAACCAGATTGAAATGGACCCTGACTGCTTTGACACTGGTTTTGGAAATACTGTTTAGGTACTCAGGAGCCAGAGAAGGTTTTAAGTAGGAAGAGTGGCAGTTTTCTAAATCAAAATACAAAATTTTATATCCAGTTCGTACCTATCACAGCTATGTACACAGCAGATAAATTGTTGTAGAAAACAAACACGGGAAAGAAAGATCTCAAAATGTTAATACTGGTTGTCTCTACAGTTGGCCTTTGGGTGACTTTCTCTCCTTACGGCTCTACTTTTCCAAAAATTTCTGTGTTGCTTTATGGTTGTGGATGAGGACACCTTAAAAACAAATCATCATTGTTACATCGGTGTTTCATTGTGAAATGGGTAGCACCATTCTCCTTATGCTTCCAGGTGTTTATTTATCAAAAGGGTTAATGTCTAAGAACCCCCTCCTGTGAGAAAATACGAATGGCAGAGAGGGCGGGGGACTTTCAGGAAGCATCTGACCTTCAGCTTGACCTTACCTTGCAACTTATTTTAGGGTTGTTGAAGATTCACTCCGGTCAGTCCAGCGCCCAGCAGGCTGTCCTGACGATTCCCAGCCAGCTCAAACCGCTCAGTGTAAACACATCTGGAGGTGTGCAGACTATACTGATGCCTGTGAATAAAGGTAAGTCCTTTGCTGGTGGGTCTGTGCGACCGTGCCGGTCCAGGCCTGTGTTGGGGAAGAAGCCCACGTTCTGTTGGTTCAGGTGCTGCTCCTCCCTTCTACAGCCTGCCCCTTAGCCATCACGGGGCTCTCTGGCACCTTGAACTCTGGAGCACCAACCTGGGACTGAAGGAAAACCCAGATGACCCATTGGCTTCTAAGTAGTTGAGCCATGGGGGAGGGGAGTCATTTTAAGCACTTCTGAGCGTTTAGATTAATTGGGTTTTTATTTTCTTCATTTCCTGACGAGCCACCATTTCCACTGTTGAGGACGTGGCTCAGTTACCCTGTACTGATAGTGAACAGAAAGCCCAGCTTGTCATATCGCGGCTGTCCTTCATCCTGAAATGGTTTCTGTGCTCTTAGTCTAATGCGTGGGCCATCAGCCGGGCATTAGAGCATTCTCTTCACGGTTGTTTTTACATGTGTTGTTTGCCCTCCTTCCTGCTCTTCAGTGGTCCAGTCATTTTCTGCCACCAAGTCACCTGCCATCCTGCCCGTAGCTGCCCCAACTCCAGTTGTCCCCAGCTCAGCTCCGGCCACTGTCGCAAAAGGTACGTAGGGCTTCACAGTATTTTTGCCCAGAAGTTTTATGCAAGGCATTGTATAGTCTGAGTCCCTTGAATTTTCAGCGTTTGTGAATCGATCACTTGGTATATACATACTGAGCGCTCATATAGCAGACTTGCCATGGAGGGAAAGAAAGAGACCTGTAAGGCATCATTTCTGCCCTCCAAGAACTCATAATCAGGTTTAAGAGAGTTACAGGAGGCAGCAAGGAGTGACTGCTAAATGCAAGGTATGCGGTCTGGAAAATAATTGCTAAATGTCTCAGTCCAGAATGTCTGGTACAGGTTGGCTGGGGCAGAGGGAGAGATGGGAGCTTTGCATGGAGCAGGGGTGGTCACTGGACTTTAAAGAGTGGGGCATTTGTGGCAGTGGAGAGTCGGGGCACGCAGATCACGGGAACAGTAGGGACAGAGGCTCAGAGTGCACGTTGGGGGACTAGACCAGGTAGAGGGCTCGTCTGGGGATGAGGCTCAGATGGGGGCAGTGAGGAGGTTCCTGACCTCGAGAGTGGTTCTTACAGTGCAGTGGACACACAGGACGTCCACAGCGTCCCCTACAGCAGTGACCCCGTGTGTTCAGTGCCTGCTAGGTCCCCGGCACCTTGCCAGCTGCTTTACATATGTCACTATTTCTTGTTACAGCCCTTCAGGACAGCTCTTGTGCTCCCTGTGCAGGTGAGGGAACTAGAGCCCAGTGCCTGTTTCTGTAAATACAGTCTTCCTGGCCCACAGCCACACCTGCTCACTTACACATCATCTGTGGGTCTGTTTCCCTGCTACCACCGCAGAGCTGAGTAGCTCAGACACAGCTCACACTACCCACAAAGCCTGAAGTATTTACTGTTCGGCTCTTTGTTCAAAACGTCTGCCCACCCTTGTTATAAAGAGCTGTGAGAGCATTGCTGTCAGTCCGGACCGGTGCTTCTCAGTAGGACGTACATATGATAGGCCTGCATCACACAGATTCTTAGCCAGTTAATTTTGGACTGGGAGCAGAGCGTCTCTCGTTTTGTTTTAATTGAGGTAAAATTTTGTACAGCAAAATGCAAAGATTAAGTATGCCATGTGTTGAGTATACAAATGTATAAATGCATGTAACCAGCGCCCCATTCGCGATACAGAAATTTCCATCACCTCGTGCCCCTTCTCGTTAACGCCCACCCACTGTAGGCATCCACTGTTCTGGTTCCGTTACCATAAATTAGTCGTGTCCGTCTTTGAACCTGATGTAGATGGAAGCACGCGTACTCCTTTGCGTCTGGCTTTCCAGGCCACGGAATGTTTCTGTGCATTGTTTCCTGTGTCGGCGTTCGTTCATCTTTATTGCCGAGTGGTTTTCCACATCGTGACTGTCTCAGGATTTGTTTATTCATTCTCCTGTTGGGGGGCATGGGGGTTGTTCCCAGTTCGGGTTATTATGTGCAAGTCTTTGAGGACATACGCTGTCGTTCCTCTAGTTGAATAGCTTGAGTTGTAGAGCAGGTATGTGTATACCCGTTGCCACCGAGTGGGTTCCAACTTATAGCGACCCTATAGGACATAGTAGAACTGCCGTATAGAGTTTCCAAGGCTGTAATGTTTATGGGAGCAAACTGCCACATCTTTTCTCCCGCGGAGTGGCTAGTAGGTTCGAACCACCAGCCTTTCAGTTAATAGCCAAGCACTTAACCACTGCACCACCAGGGCCCAGGTACACGTGTAACTATAAGAAACTGCTAAATAGTTTTTCAAAATTGTTCTGCCATTTTACACTTCGACCCGTGACACATGAGTTCCAGTTGCTTACGTTCTCACCAGACATTTGATGTTGAAGAAATAGAGACGATTGTAAGGTTCTGAGGCTGGGTCCTCAACACTGACTGTACGGGGTAAGATGATGAACCTGAGACGGTACGTGATAAAGACTTGAGGGTTTCAGGAAACAGTAAGCTCAGTAGGAATAAAGGTGCTGTATGACTATGAAAAAGCTGGTGAATTTGTAGGTTGTCTGGATGCTCCAGAATCTAAAACAAGGGACTAAGCAACCCCTCAGAGGTCAGGCCACACCTCAAATATTATGTTCTTCTCTGAGCACAGTCCTTGAAAGGGGTCAAGACCTGAGAAGTACCTTCAGCTATGTGAAGGGCCCTCTTGTAGAAGCAAGACTGGACAAGTTCTGTGTGATCCTAAGAACCACAATCACATGTAGATGGGACCAGAAGACATTTTCAGCTCAGGGCGCAAACATTTTCTGACAGAACTGTTAGAAGAGGGAGTCAGCTTGGGGAGTAGTGAGCCCCCTTTCTGGGATTGTCTGAGCACAGGCTACTTGACAGTTCTCAGAACTACGTAGGGGATTCACAATGGAGTGTGTGGTTATACTCAAAGTTTTATAAGAACTGTCTCCACTGTGAATATGCTATGATTATATAATTCTGTAACTGCTTGAATGCCAGATTAAAGCGAGTATACTTGAACCTATAGAACTCGAGTAGCTGAAGTTTTTCTGAGGACTTCCTTCTGTTTCTTGAAGTCTTAGAATCACTAAGGGTCGGAGGAATATGCATTGCTAACAGCGACATTCCCTGAGCTGAACTGAGAAGAGTAATTACTGCTAGCTGTGTTTCGCTTGATTTAAAGAAGAGTGATACGTATGGCAGTGGCATCTGAAGATTTTACCAGTAAAGGAGGTAGATTGCATCAACTGCTGTAGATTGCATCAACTCAGCACACCCCCTGCAACAATTAGAAAAATTACAAAAATCCTATTTTTGAAGATATCAGAAAGCTGTGGAAGTGATAAGGACTATATGAAGTATAATTCCAGAGAGGGGAGCAGCCTCCCAAGGTGAGCTGACTCAGCACTGGGCCTGGCCCACATGGGTGAAGGAGAAACCAGCAAGGATTGAGGTGTCATTCAAGGCCAGTGTGAAAGGTAGGAAACTCGAAGAGCCTGAACCATGCGGCAGGTTTTCTCAGTAGGACACTGGATGAGTTCAAGGGCTGGAAAGCTAGGGCCAGGGCGTTCAGGAGGCAGAGTGAAATCTTCCCTAACATTACAGCACTTGGGAAACAAAGCTCACTATTGGGAGAGGCTGGCCAATCTCCTTCTCAAGCCATTTGCCAGATTTTGAAGTACAGACAGTCCCTGAGTTACAAACAAGATCCGTTCCTAAATGTGTCTTTAAGTCGAATTTGTAGGTGAGAGGGAACAGGTTTATCTGGTTCTTATTTAGCCTTACTTTAGTGTAAGAAAAGGCTTCCAGCCTTTTCAGTGATTTAAAAGCTACACCGCAGATTGTGATGAAGAATTTGTTGCATTCAGTTGTTTCGAAGTGAGGGCAGATTTATATAACATTAAAGGGGAAGTCAGACATTGGTAACCTGGGGACTGTCTATAGTGGGAGGCTAAAGAGGTAAACTCACAAACTCCTGAAGGACAGAAGTAAATCTCTCATGGATTTTCAGGACTGAGGACATAGGGAACCACCAGCCTCTCAAACAAAAGCCTGGAAGGACCATACCTGAGGAAGAGGAATGAGCCGTAGGTAGACTGCGTCTACTGTATTTTTACGTAGATAACGCATGCCTTCTACGTTTGCTTGCCAACTGCTCCCTCCCCTCATGAAGTATTTTCGTAAGTGTGTTATGCAATTTTTTTTTTTTTACAGCAACATGTAGAAAAAACTAGCATAGTGGCGCTTATGAAAGTACCTCGCAGGGGGAGGGAGCGGTTGGCAAACAAACGTAGAAGGCGTGCATTATTTGCATAAAAAATACGATAACTAAGACTTCAGCCTAGCCCTGACCCAGCTCAATTCCTGGTTGGATTTAGGTGATCACCCTATCTGCTTAACAGAGGAAAGTGTGGACTCTCTTTTGTGGAAGATGTCACGTGGAGTATCTGCAGTTGTTTTATACATAACATCTAGCATACAATAAAAAAACTACTAGACATACAAGGAGACATGAAAATGTGACTGATTCTTAAGAGAAAAAACAGCCAATAAGAAGTAAATGCAGATAGTCTCCTTGTATAGCCAACAGAACCCTGATACCAAAACCTCAAGAAAACATTATAAGAAAGAAAACTTATAAGCCAGTATATTTCAAAAATATAGACACTGGGAAATCAAATTCAGTGATTAAAAAGAGAATACATTATAGCCAAGTGGGGTTTAGTCCAGGAATGCAAGGTTGGTTTAACACTTGAAAAATCAATTAATATACTACAATAGCAAAATAAAGGAGAAATGCCATACAATCATCTCGGTAGATGCAGAAAAAGCATTTGATAAAAGTTAACACCCATTCATGATAAAAAAAAATTCCCAGCAAATTAGGTCCTAGAAGTGAACTTCCTTAATAAAATATTAGAATTATATTAAGTGAATTTAGCAAGGTCACACAATATAAATCAGCATCCAACAAAAATCATTTGAGTTTTTGTATACTAGCCACAACATCACAGTATCAGTTGATAAGCCTAGATAGCAGTGGATTAACTGGATGTATCTATATGGGTAAACAGTGAACTGTGACCCCTACCTCATACCTTAAACAAAAATTAATTTAAGCTAGATCAGAGACCTAAATGTGAAAAATAAAACAGTAAAGTTTATACAACATGAGAATGTCTTCATGACCTTGGAAAAACATTTTTTCAGACAGGACACATGGAAACTAACCAGAAAAGATAAGATTGATATATTGGACTTTATTAGCTTTGCGAGCCTCACTTCATCAGAGGGCATTAAAAGTGCAAAAATCAAGCCACAGACTAGAAGATATTTGCAGTACAAATATCTGACAAAGGACTGGTGTCCAGAATATACCTAGATCTAAAAATTGATATGAAAAAGATGGACAACTAATGTTTTTTTTAATGGGCAAAAGGTGTCGACAGGCACTTCACAGAAGAGGCAATCCAGATAGCTCGTGAGCTCATCTGAAAAGTTTTCCAGCCTCATGACTCATCAAGGAGACACAGGTTAGATAAGTAGTGAGATACTATTATATCTACCAGCAACACCAAAATTAAAAGAATCGACAGTAGCAAGGGTTGGCAAGGGTGTGAAGCAACTGGAATTTGCATCTACCGTTGGTGGGACTTCCAACTGATAGAATCACGTTGGAAACCAGTTTGTAGTTTCTGATTAAGTGGAACTTACGTCTGCCCGTGTTCCAGAAAACCTGCTTCCAGGAAATGAGTACATGTGTCCACCAAAAACATCTGTGCAGAAGTATTCATGGCCATGTTGTGTATAAATAGCTAAAAAGGTGCTGAGTCAAAAGAGTGTTACAGTATGGTTCCAGTTACATGAAATGCAGACCGGGGAGAAGGCAGAATGGTGGATGTCTTCCGCAGGGAGGGCCTGGGAGGAAGCTTAGGGGAGCCTGCTGGAGTGCTGGAACTCACGTGAGTGGTGAAGGTTACGCGGGTGTATAAAAGCCTGTTGCCATCGAGTTGATAACGACTCAGCGGCCCTAGAGGACAAAGTAGAACTGCCCCGTAGGGTTTCCAAGGAGCGGCTGTCGGATTCCAGCTGCCAACCTTTTGGTTAGCAGCCGAGCTCTTAACCACTGCGACACCAGGGCTCTTACGTAAAATTTATTCAACTACAAATTGTGGATTTTACTACGTGCACATTATGCACCAATAAAAAAAGATGGGGGTGGGGTCGGGGGCAGGTGTGGTAGATCTCGTTTGGAGACCCTGTTTCCGTAAGGAGCCACTGAAGGATACTGAGGAAGGAATGGCCCTGTAGAGGTCCTTCAGGGAAGTTGTGGTGCTGACGTACGAGATGGGCTGTCTGGGAACAGAGTGGAGGCTGAGGTGCTGCTGCAGGAGCGGGGAGCCTGTGGTGGTGGCTTTCCGACGGAAGGACCAGAGAAGGAAAGGCAGGCCAGCGTTGCTGTCTTCCATCCGTAGATTCGGAAATATTAAAAGCCTGACTCGTGTGATTAGCTTGGAAGTTTCCAGACACAACAGATGTGATTTTTGCTTTCTGCCTTGTGTCCCAGAGCACTTAAGATAATGCTGAAAGTTGATAAACTTCACTGGGGAGATGATAATCCAAAAGATCATAAAATCAGAACTTAGAACAGGCTTTGCCCTTTAACGTGGCGTTGTTCAGTCACTGTCCCGTGTGTGCGCCAGAAGCACAGGCTCTCATGGAACAGTGTGGTTGGCTCTTCAAGAAATTTCTGAAAAGCCATTTTATTGCCCAAGTCTTGTCCTGAGCCCAGAGTTGCTCCCCCTGAGGCCCCGGCTGACAGCTCTTCCCTTGTCTGCTTGCTCTGGGGTGATAGGCACCGCCTGAGACTTCTGGGTCCCTGCAGCAGCTGGAGTGGCGGTTGCTCCGGGGTTTCAGTGGAGAGCTTTGTCTCTGCCTGCACGGGCCTTCACGTGGTGGATCCTGACAGCTCTTTGTTCTCTTCCCTTGTAGTGAAAACTGAACCGGAGCCACCTGGGCCGAGCTGCCTCTCACATCAGGGTCAGACAGCAGTGAAAACGGAAGAAGGCTCAGAGCTGGGCAGCTATGTCATTAAGTAATTATCTCAGCCCTTTCTAAAGGAGTTCTGTTTCGGGTGTTTTCATGATGCTTTTTAAACACCATACCTGTGACAGCTGGGTGTGTGTAGAGTTGTGTGTCCAGAGGTAAGCCCCTCGATGGGTGGAGACCTCTGGTCCGTGTACTATGATCAGCTGTCACCCCCTGATGGTGAATGAGTCTTCATTTACACGTTGATGGGACTTAGGGGCGGCACTTGATTTGTCGCCTTACCTCGGAGCCTCGGGAGATGACAGGTCTCTCCCGTGGAGGGTGCCACCGTGCACTTCCTGCGCTGAGTCCTTGGGTATAGAGTTTCTCGTGCTGTAATGACTCAGGTGCATGCACGTTTTGTGTCTGATTAGCCACACCTGCCTATGTTACACAGCTGCGTCTTCATGGGGCATGCACGCCCGTTGCTTCTTCTAAGAAACAGTTCTTGAGATTTTCTCATTTCTAAAGAGAGAACTCCCCTCTGACCACGGGCTTCTCGGACTGCCGAGAACAGTGGAAGCTTAGCCACTTTAACATGATGGATGGAGGCGTGAGCTGTAATGACCCTAAATTAGGCATTTATGGGATAGACTTTTTCTGCTCCAGTTTCAGTCACTCTGCAAAAAGTTTACGTTGCTATTGTAATTTAAAAATATAGATAGAATGCCTGTGATTGCAGAGTTTGGCATTCATTCCTAGAGTCTGTTTGTTAAATATTGGCGTTTTCTTTTTAAGCTCAGAACACCCATCATTTATAACGAAGACTGTCTATGAAAGGAAGGATGCGCCAGTATAATTGGTTAAAGTTATAATTTCCCGGAAAGGGGAATCACATCCATAAATACATATGTGGCTAGAAGCTGCTACCTGCATTTACCTTAAGTTTCTTTTTTTCTTCTCAGGATAGACCATTTAGAAACTATCCAGCAACTCTTAACAGCAGTAGTAAAGAAGATCCCATTAATCACTGCAAAAAGTAAGACAATTATACTGAATATACGGATGATTTTTTTTTTTTTAAACTGTGAACTACTTGGGATATTGATTCAACTTAAATCATTTGGTATTATGTTGTAAATTAATACAAGTGTAATAGTTATTATCTTCTGAGATTATAGCTAGAGATATAGATAGCTCATTTACAGGGGTTTTAGAATTCACAGGATCTTGGCCAACTAGTTAGTCTTTTATTGTTTTCACTGTTTGATCTGAAAAAGGAAGTTTTTACATTTATTGCTATATATAAGTCATACACCTATTGTGTATATAATTAAAACTGCACTGTTTTTAACGTTTATTAGTCAGGAAAGAGATGATCATTTCCCCACAGTGTGCCAGACTCCGTGCAGCTAGTTAATTTACCGTCTTCCTTCAGCACAGTCTCTTCTCCATAGTGCTGTCATCCCCGCTTCTCAGACGAGAAAAGTGAAGCCAAAGCAAGGTTAAGTAACTTGCCCAAGATCACCCAGCGGCGGGTGCTGAGGCAGTCGACAAGCCCGCTTCTGTGTTGCCCCGAAGCCTGTCATCTTGCCTCTAACACTCACTCACTTTGTAAAAATAGATGATTTTCGAGACCTCCAGAGGTGAAGTCTGCTGTGTAGTTTGCTTCCTTCCCAGCCCTGGCTGTCCTGACAGAATCAGCAGCCTTACGGGGGGGCAGACACCCTGTGGGTACTCAGACGTGAGCCCACGGGCGGGCGAGATCACCATGAACGTTAAGACGGAAGGGATGAAGCGGATCATCGCGTCACCCGTATTTGTGGGAAAATGAAAATGATAGGACAGGTACAGGCAACCTGTAATAGCAGAGAAGTCACCTTTCTCCCCTCAGCTGAAGTTCAAGGGGTCGCGTGTGTGTGAAGATACACACAGCAAAGCACCCCCACTCAGCAGTTTCTGCAGGAGGCGTTCAGCGACACTGGTTACCTCGCATTATGTCACCTTTCTCCCCGTCTCTGCCCCTTAAAGTTCTCACCGAGCTTTAGGTTGGTGTTGTCAGTTCTGTAAAAGGGCTCGGTGCTCAAGGCGAACGTTCTTTATTAACTGAGCTAAACTGTTGTCTAAAGACGACGTCACGAGATCGTTCTGGTTCACGGTTTGACTCGGTTCCGGGCGGTGGGTTCAGGGATTCCGGCAGTCTCCATGTCCCCAGAAGGTCTGGTTTTCATCAGAATTTGAAGTTCTGTTCTACGTTTTTCCGTTCAGTGATGGGAGCCGAGCACCATCCATTTCTTCTGGTCTCACGGCAGAGGAGACGGTAGTTCATGGAAGCAGTTAGACCTACAGTCCATCTCCTTCTCTGATTCCTGGGTCTCCTTCCTCTGTTGCTGCAGGCGAATAGAGACCAATTGTATCTTTGAGTGGCCGCTAGCAAGCTTGAAGACCCCAGGCACTACTCACTGAACTAGGAGGTAGAGCAGAAACTCTAAAAACAATATTAGGCCAGAATGGACAGATCCACGAAACCATGACCCTAAACCTTTGAATCAAGAAAACTAATCTCTAGGGATCATCCTGAGGTAGTTGTCAAGGCGCTGAGCCTCGTCGACAGCTGAGAGGCATCTTCTGCGGAGCACATTTGCATCACCTCAGCATCCACAGTTCTCAGACCACCTTATTCTGGCATTGCAGACTAAGATTTAAAAACCTTTTTTTTTTTTTTAATTTAGCTACAAATATAGAATCTTAGTGCTGGAAGGGACTTGCAAAACTATCTTCCCCGATTTTCTCATTTTACAGATAGGGAAACTGAAGCCCAGAGAGGTGATGTGGGCTGTCCAAGGCCTCTCGGTGTGCTCATGGAGGCCAGGACGAGGTGTCAGGTCCCCAG